ACTGCCAACCTTTTGGTTAGCAGCCAAGCACTTAACTGTTGTACCATAAGGGTTCCGTATCTGCACAATAACCTTGATATAATCCCCATTTTATAAATGAGGAAATGAAGGTACAGAAAATCAAAGTATCTTGCCCAGTGTTACGCGATTAGGAAGTGGCATAGCTGGGGTATATGGGCAGTTTGGCTCCAGAGTCTCTGTCCTTAGCCACTCTGCTACATAGTATCCCTGTTAAACAGCTCTAGAAGGTACCATTTACATAGAATGCAGTATGCATGGGGCCTTTGCAGTTGGGCATTGTGGGTAACCCTGTTCTGCTCATATTAAAAAAAAAAGGCCAATTCTTTTATTCTGCCTTTTATGTGCCAGGCACTTTCTATGTGCTTTTCATGTGTTAACTCATTAAATCGGAACTGCTATCTTCATGCTATATGATCTCCATGTTACAGATGAGGCCCAAAGAGAGAGACTCAAGGACATGCCTGGCTAGGTGTTATTAGCTGCAGTCAAATTGGCCCCTGACTCTTGGCGACCCCATGTACAACAGAAGGGAACTCCATCTTAGTCTGGAAGCTCCACTGAAACCTGTTCAGCATCACAGCAACACACAAGCCTCCACTGACAGATGGGCAGTGGCTGTGCCAGAGGTGCATTGGCCCGGAATTGAACCTGGGTCTCCTGCATGGGGGAGGCAGGAATTCTACCACTGAACCATCACGGTCCCCATCTGGCTAGGTAGTGAAGTCTAAATTCAAACTTGGAGGACTAGATCAGAGGACTGCTAAAAGGAAATCTATTGTCTGTGGTGTTTTGTTTTGTTTCTATGCCCTTGCCTGCCCACCTCTCTGAGGCACATCAGGGAGGAAACAGGAGATGTGATATTAATGCCTCCAGTGTTCCACAGATTTCTAGAGACTGGGGAATCTATTAGTACTTGCAAAGCAGAAGAGGTAGAAAATCATTCATCACACTATGGTCACTTAGTAAAATTTAAACAAAAACAAAGAACAAAATAATTCCCGAGGCTGATTTGGCAAGCAAACAGCTTGGGCTTATGTTCTACCCATAGAGCCAAAGAGAAGGCTAGTTCTTGCTGAAGTCCAAACATTGTTCCATTGTCTCTTCCCTGACCTCTGCTGTAAAATGCGTAACTTCTCTGGCTTAGAAAAGTTGAATTCCAGAGAAATCTGGGGGGAAAATTGGGTAGAAAAATTTCCTTTCGCTTCTAAATCTACACCACTTGTCTTGATCATGGCTATCTACTCATAACTAATCAGCTCACTCCTGGGTTTCTCTTTCTAATTTTCTCTTTTTCCAAACAAATGGAAAAGAGAAGTCCTTGTCCTTTGTATTCCACCTTCGATTCCATTTGTTTGTTGTACCACAAAGTCCAGCACTGGGTGAGAAAAAGGAACGCCATGTCCCTAAGTTTGAAGCCAACAAAAACTAACTGAACGTAATGTTTCTTTGAGATACATAATGGAGTTCTTCGGATTTGTTGAGGGCCACGCCATTTTCTCCAGTGTATTGAGCTTAGAGGAGGCATTTGTTAAGTTCCTCACCGAAAATCATGTGGAATATACAAGCATAGAATTACACAGACAATGACTGTTTATAGTGTCTTTAGACTTTGAACTGTTGAATATAGTGAGAGATGATTTGAAATGAAATGGATTAGAAACACATCAGCAGAGCAGTCTCACAATTGGAGGCCAGCTTCATTGGAGGCTTCACAGAGATGAGAGGTAGGTGTGCTACTGGGAAACACCAACAAAGATGAGCCACAAGAGTTTTGGATCAATTCTTATTGTGGCCTCAGGTGGGAGTACAAGACCAGGAGGAAGTGGTGGTTCCCTTTCACCTTCTCAGAACACTTAAAGTAAAAACAAGGTGGTGCCAGTTCCTTAGTTGCTCCTCACATCTTCTTGCAAAACAGTACAACATCCTGAAATTTGGACCTGGGACTTGGACCTTTTGGAATCCCCAGGTCCTGTCATCCAAACCTTAGAGACTTAAGTTGATCTGAAACATCTGGCCTGCCGATTTGGGTTTGTTGGCCCCGGCAGCCACATGAGTCAGGAGACTGAGGATGCTCCTAAGAACCATTCAATACTTCTCAGCTGACTTTCTTAGGAAATATATATATATACTCTCAACTGAAGTGGTAAAGTAATGATGTGGAAAATTTAAGGAGAAAAAAGACCCTCTTGCTTCAGTTTTTCAGAGATTCTGTCTAAAATCTCTTATGGCTCTAGTTATAGAGTTAATTAAAGTAACAGAGTCTGATACATGGACTTGACCCTGTCCTCTTGCTTCCGGAGGGAGGAGCTGAGGTTCAGCCTGGGAAGTGACTTGCTCCAGGCACACAGTTGTCAACAGGTGGAGCTGGTACTGCATTTACTTCTCTGGAATCCTGCTGATTACACCCCTACTTTCCTGCCCTTCTCCCTCTATGTAGGCATAGCCTCCACAATGACATCCTGTATGAACCCTACAATTCTGAGATTCTAAAGGACAACTGAGCTCCCTTGCCATCTGCGGTGCAATGAATTACTTAATATGGCTCTTCTAGCCATGGTCTTTGTGATTCACACACAATGATTGAGTGAGACTGTGCAAATAAGGTATATGGAACCTGTGATGGCTGGGGTTATGTGTCAATTTAGCTAGGCCATGATTCCCAGTATTGTATGATTGTCTTCCATTTTGTGATCTGATGTAATTATCCTCCATTTTTTGTGTTGTAAATCCTAACCTCTATATGTTAATGAGGCAGGATTAGTGTGGGGTGTATACTGAGTCACAGCCTTGCAGGAGGGCGTGACTCAAATCCCATCGTTACTCAAATTGTGCCCTTCCCTGGGCGTGGCCTGCATCCAGTTGGTATATATGTGGGTGCTCTGGTGTGGCTCTCTCTGCACCTGATCCTTTGTTATTGTCTAACCTCTTGGGACCTGAGCCAGCAGCCTGGCATCTGACCCGCTGATTCTGGGATTCACCGGCTTCTGCAGCCCCATGGGCCAGCAGCTTATTCTGACCTGATCTGCTAGCTTCCACAGCTTTGTGAACCAGCAGTCTGTCATCTGGCCTGCCAATTTGGGTTTGTTGGCCCTGGCAGCCATGTGAGTCAGGAGAAGCCTACGCCTGACCCACGGATTTGGGACTTGCCAGCCTCCACAACTGCATGAGCCATTTCCTTAATATGGTTTGTGAGTTCTGTGAGACATTGCAACAAATTATGGAACCCAACAACGAGAGGGAGAGTGCTGTGGGGAGGACTGGTTTATGTTAGAGATGATGGAATGGTACAGGAGTTTGGAAAAGTTGGGCATTTGGGACATCTTTAACTCTGCCTCATAGGAACCAGCTCTGTGCTGATCATTATAAAAGAAATTTTTTATTTACCATGTTTTACATTCGACAGTGTCTGAGTATTGGTGCTGCTCCCAAAATAAGCAGCAGTGACTGAAAAAGGTTAACATGTCAACACTAACCTGCAGAAACTGTGCTCTGCTCCGCAGTTGTAGCTGTTGTGTTGCTTTTAGTGACTCACATTTGTTTCTTTAAGAGTTAACGCTTTTCAGAGATGCTGGCTAGAAGGACAGGCCTTATTTCCTAGGGCCAGCCAGTTACTCCTGTGCTGAGCATCCTATGAACTGCAGCCAGTGTCTTCCAGCTGACAAAGCATGGTTGTCATTGATAAGTGTTAATGTTGCGCTTTAGATTTGCAAAGTTCTTTTTCTGAGTTATTTCTTACCTCAGTTTGGCAGGTGAAGGAACTCAAGCCCTTAGAGATAGTGACTGGTGTAGAGTCATCCGACCAGCTAGTGGTGAAGCAGATTCTAGATTCGAAGCCTCTCAGTTTCTGGGTCACTGCTTACCCAGTGAGTCATACAGCTTCTCTAAATTGTGTTCTTTGCCCCTCACCAACTTCTTTTATCCAAATTTAGCTGACTTCTTTTAGAGTGAGCTATAGAGCTCTTCTGTTTCAAAGCTGCAGTACCTTAGTGGTTGACCTGAATGTGGTACATTTCTGTGTAAACCTCATGTCAGGCTGTCCCAGTCTTAGGTCAGCCCAAGTTGTGATGTGGCAGGTAGGTGAGTGGGGAGGCAATAGGACTTTTCTCTTTGGGCTTTGGGGAAAAGATGGGTGCTATCTCTGCAATATAAAGATTTACTCATGGGAAAGGGGATGAAGGGTTTAATTTAAAACTTAGTCGTTGTTATTGCTGTGAAGTCAACTCAAACTCATGGAGACCTTCTGTATAACAGAACAAAACTTTGCTCAGTCCTTGCAACCTGGGAGGCTCATCTTCCAGCACTATATTGGACAATACTGTGTTGTGATCCATAGGGTTTTCATTGGCTCATTTTTGGAAGTAGCTTGTCAGGATTTTCTTTACAGTCTGTCTTAGTCTAGAAGCTCTGCTGAAACCTGTTCACCATGGGTGACCCTGCTGGTATTTGAAGTACTGGTGGAATAGCTTCCAGTATCATAGCACCATGCAAGCTACCACAGTGCGACAAACCGACAGAAGATGGTGGTTAAAGGAGGTTAAAAAAAAAAAATCTAACTAAAGAGACATTAAAAAAATTGCATCTACATAAAGTTGAGAGGCTTTTGGCTTCTTTTTCAAATATCATCAGTTGGGTCATGGAGGTATTTTCTTGTAGTGAGGCAGAATGACTTCAGTGAGAATGTTTAAAACTTTTACTGTAGAAATCCCCACAAGAAATCTTATCATCTCTTCTATCCACTTTATTTTTTAAATTTTAAGTGACTTTTTGCCCTTTTGACTTAAATTGCACCTGTTAACTCCAGATGTTGAATGGAGATTAGTGTGTGTTCTCTTGTCGTTACATCGTCTTCACCGAAAATGAAATCTCTCCTTTGCTCTTCCATCCCTCCAATTATGAATTTAATTAAGAAGATGAGCAGTTGTGTTTAGAGTATTCAATAGTCTGCCTTTCCAAAACATTCCAAGAAGCCTTTTGGATATTAATAAGTGTTTATTGCAGAGCTAACAATACAGGCAAAACAGGAAGCAGCTCTTTGCTGGGTAGGATGCTCTGAGTCGCCCTCCACTCTCCAAGGGAACGCTCTTCAGCTGACTGAAGCAGGGGAGCCGAGCCAATCAGAGGCCGCTTTCCTAGCTCAGTCACCAGTCTGTGGTTGAGGAAGGGTTTTGCTTTTTATGCTCTGTATTAGGAAGGCAGATAAAATGCCAGGTCTGGACTGCCTCTGGGGATAACCTCACCCTGTGTGATGTGAATGAATAGCATCGTGCCCGGTAAATCCACAGGAATTGATAAGGCAGTCGCAGTTCCTCCAAATAGGCCTTTTCTATCTTTTACTTTAGCTGTGGTTTCTGTAGCAATTTTGTTTTTGCCTTGAAAGAGGTGCTCTGGATTATCAGACCTCCATGTATGACAATTTGTACCTGCATGGAATTGAAGACTCGGAGGCTGTAAGTATTTTCATAGATAGCTGATTCCCTCTCCCCTACTCTTCCTCCTCCCACTACCCCCACCCCCGCCCCATTTCTTAGGCAACGCAGGGAACATGGAGCTGAAAGCCAACATCATTTGGGGGCTTGCTAGCTGCCGGGTACATGTTCTGTGTATAGTTTATAGTTACCTGAAATAATTCTTTATTACATAATTTCTTGTCAAGCAGAAAAGAAAGTGGAGTGATAGCAAAGGCATCTAAGTGTTTGGATTTATACATTACCCGATCCACGATTGATCTCACAAGGGGTAACTTGCTCCTTGTAGACTGATTTTAAACTATGCAGAAAGTGCCTATGTTTTCCAGTAGCAGGGTTCATAGAAAAGGCTCATTCATTATATAATACTCATTGTTTATTGAGGTAGCATGAATGGAAGTTCCTAAGCTGTAGCCGTATTATGTGCTTTCTGGCCAAACAACGGTGCAGCTTCTTTGTTAAGGAAATCAGATGCAAGGGTTGTGGCCATATAAAACTCCAGTGCCCCATCACGGGGACAGTGGATAGTGTTCCTGTGCTCTACCCTGCAGGACTGAAGGAGCTCACGTGTATTTTGGCTTAGGAAACTGGACACCTTTCCCCCCATAGGTCGGGCTCAATCTATTAAAATTAGGATGAATATGGTTTTCTGAAATCCCTAAAATCATACCATCAGATTGTTAGCTCTGAATATAGGGTAGAGCTGATTCCGTTTTACTATTGCTGGTGGTAGTTCCTGATTTTTCATCAATTACATAGCAACCTTGCAGGATAGAATGACTGGGGGCAGCTAACGGGATGTGTGCTATGGGGAGTCTGAATTTTATATGAGTGCTATGCCATACACGTTGCTACATTCAAAACAGGAATGTGTTATATAAGGTTCTCTGGCTAAACCACCAAATAAACAGATTATAACAAAAAAAAAAAAACTATTGTATACGTCAATGCAGACGTATGTATCAAATGATGTGCTACCCGTGAAAGATAGAAATCCTCAGTTCTGATAAGGCATTCCATTTTTCCTTCCTGTCTGTGTGTTAGTCAGCTCTAACTCTAACTCTGTTTCCGCGAAGTCTGTCTGCGTGTTGCCCAGTGTGCTCGTAAATTATCAGACTGTCAGTTTATTTCCAGGGAATGTAGTCTGAAACATTGGTGACTGAAATAGAGGAGATACACACTTGCAAGTGGGGTGGGGAATGGAAAATGCAAGTCCAGGAGTTCCTAAACCAGTTTCCCCAGCTGGGTTCTTCAGGAGGCCTGATTATTTCTCATACCTCTTCTCTCCACACTCAGTTATGAAACATGTGACGCCTTATTGAATTTTAAGTTTTATTTTCAACCATTGATTTTAAATTTGGACAATGGATTGGACGTAAGTGGATCGGAGTTATTTCGGAAATGCCTTTAGAAACCAGCTGCTTTTAACAGAGTCGGCTAGGAACTAATGTACATAGCTCCTTGTTCTCCAGAACTGTATAAATTTTGGATGCACTGGTTCAGGGGGTAGCCGTTATAAGTATGAAAACACTTTTCCCCCCTTTTGGTCCAGCCTCACAGGACAGCTGAGTTTTTCTGTAGGGTGGGAAATGAAGAGCGCAGTGGCTTGACTCAGTCGCGTTAGTTGAGTGGCGGGCAGTGCTAGGTACTGCAGTGCCGTCCTCTTGGTGAGTCAGTGGTGGCCAGCAGTCTGAGCTCCTCTGGGCTATGTGCACATCTGCAGAGGTGAGAAAGGTGGGAGACCTGAGGAATGAAGAAAGGGAACTGGCCAATCCTCCCTTGAGAGTATGGGAGGCTTTCAGATGGGTGGGATCGAAACCTGTCATAAATCAGAGGGGAAGACAGAGATGTTCGGAGGGATGAACTGACTCTGAATGCTCATTTGAGTTTATTTGTTTTTATAAGGAAGAATAATGTGATGTGTTACCCAAGATGGTGTGAACAGAGCTTCAAGCCAATGGAGAAGACTAGGCCTAAATAGCTGACCTGGTGAAGTGAAAAATAAAGCCACACCTGGAGTCTCCCATCCTCAGCAGTCATTCTCAGTGCCAATGCATTTATGGCTGTAAGTGTGGGGGTTTGCCCAGATGGAAGCAAAGCTCTCGGAACAGGTCTGGTGGATAGGCGTGGAGAGAGGCTTTTCTCAGATGGCCAGCTGCAGCCCGAGAATATACAGGCACTAAAAGCTGAGTACGGCACTTCCTTTTGGGGGGTTGGGGAGCCATCTGCATCTGTCCTACCACTGTGTGCTGTTGACAGTATCTTTGTGGGGTTTAACATGTGATAAGTGATTATGTTCAGTGTGTTCACACAGTAAGCTTGTAATGTAAGATCACCTAGCCTAGGGACTGATACATTATTCTGAGCATTCATAAACTGTTGGCACCTAACATCCCTGCAGTACAATAGGGATTTTGGAACTGATGTGAGGTGTTTCTAAGGAGTCTTGTCCAAAGGCAGATATCATCCCAGTGCCCTAGATTTTAGTTTATAACCTCTGCATTTCACGGAGAGTATATATAAAGAGAGAGGAATGAGACATGTGCTGGAACATGCATGAATCTGGGCATTTTAGGTTCTTGAGTCCTATGGAGACTTTTTGGACAAGTCTGTTAACTTCCCTGGTTTCTAGGAGAGTAGATAAGAGTCAGGATTATTCAGAATTACAAGGAAGTGCTAATCATTCAGCACCCCACAGTAAGGCACTGCATGCAGGGTACCATGTTACCTCTACTTCTCTTGTATTACCTTGAAGTGGATAATGGAGTTGTGGTCCTGGATGAGTCCATACCTACCCACAGGCTGTAACTATGCTGTCTCTGTATGAGGACTGTTCTGTTCTAGCTTCACTGCCCCCAATGTGTCTTAATATAGGTCCTGGTGGCCAAAATATTTTTCACCTGCTGAGCTCCCAACGTCCACTATGTATTTTTAACGCGACCACAATAGATTTAGTTAGATCTCCTTGGTGTACACTTGTTTTGTAAATGGATTCATTGTGCAGTTTAACATTGGTGGCATCATTTTAGGAATAGATTTTTTTTTCATTCAGCATGTTTATTACACAAACAGTAGGAAGGATATTCTTATAGGGATAAATGGAAAGAGTAGATGAGCAAAGGAAGTTTCCTAAAGCTCACCAACCAGAGATAATCATTCTTAACATACGCTGTACATCCTAACACACTATCAATGCACGTATGTGTCAATATGTCCTTCTAAACCTGCTACTGTTGTGTTACGTTCTTTTCTTTTAACTGCTATTCTCACTTGATAAAACATGGAGAATACTAGGACTAGAACTGGCCTTTGCAAAATTTAAAGATCATACATGGACTTTGAGCAACTTAAATGAAACATAGATTCTTGCAGTGTTTTATAAAGTCAGAGTTAGCTGTACATAGGATTAATAGTTGATTTCTCTGACCCAGTTGCTTGCATTTGCAAATGCTTAAACTGTAAGGTATTTAGAGAGAGAGAGAAACCTAATCTTTTTTAATGAAAAAGATGGTCAGATTATAACTCAGGTTATTTATTAGAGAGGAAAATAGCTTCTTTTTGTGTTTTCAGTCATAGGAAAGAAATCATAATATATTTTTTAATACTGCTAGAAATCTGATGGATGTGAAAGTAAAGTAAAGGTTAAACTCTACAAATGATAATGTATATGTCATATCTGAATATAGAAAAGCATGTATTTAGATCTGTATGTACCTATCAATGATTACTAGGATGACTATATGTTATTTAAAGTATTCATTTTTTATAATCTGTGTTAACTGTGTGTATTTGCCTAAATTTCGGTGTTTCCATGTGTGCGTGCACACCATACACACATACACATTCATATATAGATATGCTCCATGCCTTGCTAATTGGTGGCTAATACTAAGTGGGAGGTTTCTACCATAAAGGCTTTGGAGAAGGAAAATTCACAGCTTTTGATGTGAAGAAAGATAACCGAGAGGACTGAAAGGCAACAGATCTGTAAGGATTTCTGCTTTCAAAGATATAATAAAGTTATTGTAAGTATGAAGATAATGCTCTTGTACTTGCTAGGGAAGAGGATAAACTTCAGATGGAAGGATTTGTGTGTTTAGGGACATTCAGAAAAACACTCCAGGAATATGAAGAATTTGATTTCTTTTGGAAACAAGGTAGCCAGAGGAAAGCTTAAAAAAATAAATAGACTGTATGGTTTGGCTGATCACAGGATCCCCTTCTGGGGTCAAGAAGTCTTCCTGGCCTATTTATAGACAATAAGGACTGCTCTGTAAAAAAAAAAAAAAATCCAAAGACTGGATGTTGGCGTCACTGGCTAGAGGACAAAACCAAATGCTGCTCATGGCTTGTGTAAGAAATTTGACTGAGAAAATCAACTTGTTCTACTCAGCTGAGCTATGTTGGTGTTTGTCCAGAGTCTGTTAAGTAAATAATGAACAGAGGCTTTTCTTCAATCAATTCTTAGCAGTGATGGTTTTCTAAATATATATTGAAATGATTTCTAGATGTAGTTGTCATAGAATTAAAGAGAGAAATTCCATAAGTCTGATCAGAACCCATAAATTTGCCATTCCAGTGTAATGGAATTTGCCATTGCCCCTTCCTTGTTGATTTTCTATTTTTGAGTAAAAGAGTTGGAAGTATTAGGATCGATCCTAGCCTTTCCTCGAGTGCTTCTGTATCTCCTTTCCTGCCGGTGTTTTTCTTCCTGTTAGATTAAAGTCCAGGATTTTAGAATATGGTTCTGAGACACCGTGTGTACTCAGTGAACATCACATTATTCTGTGGCGCAAGACATTATGTAGGAAGGGCAGCAATAATGATAGAAAACCATGCTTTTATAAGGTAAAGTGGGGTGGCTTCCCATTGCCTTAGCTCTTCCCTTTCATTTGGAGTTCAGCTTGGACATTATTTCTTATTTCTGGTTCCCGTCATTCTGTTTACTGTCTCCCCTTTACTATTCTTTACCTAGCTAAACT